GGGAAAGAAGCAAACAACTGCTTATAATGATTCAAAACAAATTTAAATTTAGTCAATGCTTTTTAATAAAATAAAAGTAAGAAAGGAGAGGAATTAAATGGATTAGACCAGATAATCTCAAACTTTCTGTTCATTATGACCCTAAGGCCAAAAGAAACATCTATCAGTTCCTTTATTAAGTAGTTAAATCCAAATAACTGAATGAGTACTTATGTCCTAATAACTTAGTAGCCCTTTGAAAAAGTAATACATACAAATTGAAAGAAAAATACTATTTTTTTTTTTTTTTTTTTTTTTTTTTTTTGCGGTACGCGGGCCTCTCACTGCTGTGGCCTCTCCCATTGCGGAGCACAGGCTCCGGACGCACAGGCTCAGCAGCCATGGCTCACGGGCCCAGCCGCTCCACAGCATGTGGGATCTTCCCGGACCAGGGCACGAACCCTTGTCCCCTGCATCGGCAGGCGGACTCTCAACCACTGCGCCACCAGGGAAGCCTGAAAAATACTATTTTTATTTTACTCTTAAACAGCCACAACTACTTCCAAATTGGATGTGTGTACTGCAAAAACTGGGCACTGCACAAATTCACACATCTTATCATCACTGAACACAGACAATTCTTATTTCTTGTTGCATGATGATTTTCGCATAGCACTTGCTTTTTATCATGGCAAAAGCCAAAAACCCATGTTCACAAAGATACGAAAGGAAGGTAACATGAGTTCATGTTGAAACTGTGAACTACCTTGAGCTAGAAAAGTTCAAGCAGTGTATGACAGATGCTGAATGCTGTTTCCCTTTAAAATTTAAAATAACCTGAAGCACCCTTGAGGGTTTGCTGCAGTATCCAGGGCGCCTCAGCACACAGTTTGGAAACATCAGGTTTAGACACAGAAAAATCTTAAAAACTTCTAGTCAACAAGATAGCATATACCTTTGACAACATCAATAAACAATCATGGTTTGACTTGGACAACAGAAGTATATATCTGTTATAAGGTGCACAAATGGACACAGCGATATACCCCATTTCTTTAGTAATTGAAAGCAATGTGATCTTAGCTCCTCCACATCTACAAAAAAACTTTAAAAAAGTTTAAGGTGTCCAACAACAGATACCGTTTTTTGACGAAACTCTTGATTCAGCGACTGCTGCAGCTCCTGAATATCATCTGAAAGCTGCTTGAACTCTGCTTGCTCTTCAACTGGAACAGAACTGAACACAGCAAAATAAATTAAAATAACATATATCAAGTTCTTAACCTTGAAAGGCCAAAAACAGTTTCTGCCCTCCAATAACTTAAATGAAAAAAACTATCTGCTTTCATGTTTATGAGTTCTCATTCTTCCAAATGACAGTAATTTAAAATCCATGACCTGGCTGGCCTCTACTACAAAGAGAAAATAAAAATCAGATGAGCTCCTTCAACTTCCTGCCACCAAATCTCTGTGTGGACCCATCTGCATACATACCTACCCTTTCTAACTCCACTCCTAATTTTAGTGCTGATTCCTCCACCTCTGCTCTGGCTCTCATTTTCTCACATCTCTCTCCTGTATCACCCATTTCTTTTGCTCTACTAATTCTTTCTAATAGCACTTATGCATGTTTCAGTCTCTTCCATATGAATGTTCTCAAATTTAGTTTTTAAAACATTGTATAGAATTGTTACTTTAATTTTCATTTCCTTGACTGCTATTGAGTTTAACGATCTTTACACATTTTTAATTAGCTATTTGTAGTTAATCCTCTGTAAATTCCCTGTTTATAGCCTTTGCCCATTTTTCCATTATCTTTTTTCCTATCAGTTTGTAGGAGTTCTTTGTATATTAAGAATATTACATGGCCTTTGTTATTAGAGATAGTAAGGCTTTGCTGCATATGTTGCAAATATTCTCTTCCAGTTTGTCATTTCTCTTTTGACTTGGTTTATGGTGAATTTACCATGATAAATTTTAATATCTGCCTCCTACTCCCAGTCTTTTCAGCTTGCTGCTGTCTCTAAAGGCAATTTATGCCAGGGCAGGCTAAAAAAGAGCTTTCACCTGAAACAGAAAAATCCAAAGACATCAACATATTAGAAGGGATAAAAAAATCCTTTTGTTCAAAATCAATACATATAAAGCCAAGAAATCATAACCCTTGAATGATTCCTTCTCCTATCTGACCTTTGAGTCAAAAAACAAAACAAAACAAAACAGCAAACCTCTGTGGAAGGAATAAAACTTTTAACAGAATTAACTGATCTGAAGGAAAAAAGAGAATCCTGTCAGTTACTGATCACCTACTAAGATAAATACCACTAGATATAATTTAGGAGAGTAAGTTAATGGCTTTAAACATGTCTGGTTGATGCATTAACAACAAAAAAGAAGTAAAAGAGTAAATTATGCACTAAAAGTTAGAAGAAAAGCTAGTTTTTCTTTTTCAAAAAAGGTAAACTTAAACACTCTGCTATTTAATAAGGAACATAAAAGAGATGAAGTAGACTGTAGACTGTAAAATACTACTTACATTCATTTTGCATTTTGAAATTGCACTTATTTTATTTGTAAATCTCCTACTTACTCAAGTCTCTCCAATTTCATTATTGCCTCCTGGTGTGCAGTATTTAACTGCTGCATTTTGTCCACAGAAGATTTCTATTAAAGCAATTTTAACAATTTCATATTAGTGTTTTTCAACATAATCAGAGACATGTTTAAAAAAATATCTACCGGTACTGGCTACAAAATGCTTCCCCACTCTACAACTTTCACCATGAGAAATAAGAAATTTAAGAAAGAATTAGGCATTTACGACAAGTGACTTAGGAATTCCTTTACTTATTCAACACACAAATGTTGAGTTCTTACTACAGTCAGCCCCTGTGCTAGGTACAAGGAATAATTCCCAAGAAGACTAACTTATAGTTCCTCAACTTAAGTAGTTCAGTCTCCTTGACAAGTCAGAAAAACGAATATAAAACTACAAAACAACTTGTCATAGAACTGATTATAATGACATCCTATCCAACCTGGGCAATGGCTGGGAAGGTGTATTGCAGAGGGTTCATAGAAATGATAGATGTCTGAGCCATGTCTTAAAAAAATGAAGTGAAATTAGCCAAACAAAACTGTGTGTTTGTATGTGTTGGCACATACATCTGTACACTTTGGAGAGTATGTGATGTTTAGGTGGTATAAGCTGAACATGATTTGTACAAGGAAATATTTATCAATGTAGCTCAGTCACTAAAGGCCTAATTCTCTGGTGTTACTCTGGTGCTTTTCTAAAAGTATGGTACCCTCAAACTGCGGACAGATGGGAACAAACCACACAGATGACCCATAATCTTTCCAAATTCCCTAAACTGTTGATGAAATGAGTTTCTATCCATTAAAGTGATTTACTTGAACTGAATCTTATAATGCAATGCCGAGTAAGCATGATAAATAGAACAAAACACCTAATTAGGCCATTATTTAGAAAGCAAATATAAACATCAAATATCTCAATTATTTAAAGAACACTACATTATCTGTTAAACTTCAAAGAAAAGGAATGGGTTATCACTATTCTCTTCCCTTACATTTCCTAATAAAGGAAAAGGAGTCTCAGATACAAAATTAAAACAAAAACCCCAGCTTCTCCCTAATGATACCAAATATAGAAGAAAACCTCATTCTGTGATCAGCTTACTAAAATCTGCAATTTCATATGAATATAATATTGATATGTAAATTTAATTCTAATGGCCATAAAACAATTAGGTATCTGTGACAACCATTTCAAAACAGATTAGTGGTGTACAAATGATGTTATTGATCTGGTATGTGACCCAAAAAATACACTTAGATCTTACATATTGCCAAAGAAACTCCATGTATGTCTCACGGCATGCTTCTCTGAAGTGAATAAAGTTGATAATGCCACTTAAAAACCGACTTGTCCGTTTTGCCTCTAAAATACAAAGAAAGACTCCTTAAATAAATCTTTGAAACAATATAATATAAAAGTGAAAATTTATCCTTTTTCCACCATATATTCCACTCATAGTTACAGAACAAAAATGTGTGTATGCTAATTAACCAAAGTGAAGAACTGCTCTAACTTGATGATCAGAATTACCTTAACCAAAAAAAAAAAAGCACTCTGACCATGAAAGAACAACAGAGACCAACCAGATTTACTATCCCATCTTAAACAACCAGAAAACCGGACAAAATATATAAAACAACAAATTTTAGACACTGAACAACAAGCAATATAGGACAGCAATCCACAAGAGAAGTAAATGAGATGAACCCTATTAATGAATGCACTAGCCCACCACTTAAGGGAATTTTCAGGCTGTACCTCAGGGAGGTAGAATATAAACAGAACTCATGGGTTTTGCTGAGTCATGAAGATAGAGTTTAGAGCTTGGAGAGACCAAAGCAACTATAATTTTTAGAGTCTGAAGAGGCCAAGGCAAGAATTTATAAAAACTCTATCTTGATTCAGCCTTTGAATTTATTCAGCCTATGAATATATTCTATAAATATATTCCATTTGTTCAGGAAGGTAGAGAAAAGCATTAGTATTATAAGGAGAGAAAGGGAAAACCTGAATCAAATTTTACAATTAAAAAATAAAATACCTGAAATGAAAAATGCACTAGATAGGATTAAGAGCAGATTAGACATACAGATGAAAGGATTAGTGAAACTGAGGACATAGTAATAAAAGCTATCTAAAATGAAGGCCAGAGAGAAAAAAAAGAATAGAGAACTTATGAACTGAGGGACAATATCAGGCAGCAAAACACATGTGTAATTGGAGTCCTACAAAAAGGAATGGCAGAAAAAACTTTTATAAAATAGCTAAATATTTTCCAAATTTTATAGAAACTATAAACATATCCAAGGAAGTGAGCAAATCTAAGTGGGGGTAAAAAAATAAAATAAAATCCCCAAAGGCACATTATAATCAAATTGCTGAAAACGTGTGATAAAGAGAAAGTCTTATTAGAAACACCCAGACAGGGACTTCCCTGGTGGCGCAGTGGTTAAGAATCCGCCTGCCAATGCCGGGGACACGGGTTTGAGGCCTAGTCCAGGAAGATCCCACATGCCGCGGAGCAACTAAGCCTGTGCGCCACAACTACTGAGCCTGCGAGCCACAACTACTGAGCCCGCGTGCTGCAACTACTGAAGCCTGCGCACCTAGAGCCTGTGCTCCACAACAAGAGAAGCCACCACAATGAGAATTCCACGCACCACAATGAAGAGTAGCCCCCGCTCGCTGCAACTTGAGAAAGCCCACGCACAGCAACAAGACCCAACGCAGCCAAAAATTAAATAAATAAATAAATTTATTTTTAAAAAAACAAACAGCCAGAAATGAGGAGAACCAAGAGAGAATAATTCCAGGTTGAGTAAGCATGTGGTTTAGATTATTAACTTTCATATAGAAACAGTTGATGATGCCTTGGACTCACATGACACAGGGAAATGGAACTGAGATCCCTACTAGATGTGGGACTCTAGAGAGGCTACATCCTTAGAGAAAAGGTAGATTAAGGAAAGAAAAATTTCTCATAACAATGCAGGGAAATGACAAAGTTACTAGTGGCTCAGCCTTGTCTCTAGTAAGGAAATAGTCTCCTCTGAGAATTCTAAACCTTGGGCCCATTGCCATATGGGTTTTTGGCTTAAATTAAACTATATATTTGATCCAAGAACTATCGAAATTAGGAATTAAGATAAAAAGTGGTCTTTAGCCAATGATAATCCTGGAATAACTTCCAAAAGCAAAAGATATCTCAGGAGGGATATGGCCTCAACCCCAGAAGCCAAAGAAGCACAGGACTATCCTGCT